AAAAAAATATATGTAGACAAAAGATACCCTCTTGTAGAAAGCTTTCTTACTGTTTAAGGTGTTTTTGAAACTATGCTACTGTTAGCTTGTTTGCTAATACTTAACAGCTATTCCCCTGTCAGTTGGAATCTTTGATTACTCAGTCCTCCAAATAGAAAAGAATTCTCTCCTTTATATATTCCATAGAGTAGAAACCACTTACATGTATTCACATTTAACCTGTCTGAAATCCTGCTATTTGGAAAACTAACTTATCCAGAAGATAACTAGGAACCTACAGAGCAATTATTTTTGCAGCAAGACGTTTCTTGACCTTAATACCTATTCATGGTCTTCTCAAATGGGCTTCTGAGGACACACTGTCTGAAACTGGCATGCTGCCATTTTTCATAGTTTTATGGATTCATGTTCCTTCATGCTTTGCACCTGCTACTCCCTGTGATTGGAATACCTTTTGTCATTTTCAGTATCTACTTAACTCTTACTGCTCCTGAAGGCTGAGAGGCTGAGCTGACAATCATCTCCTCTTAAAAAGCAGGCTGATGTTCACCATCCCAAGTTAGGCAACCCTATTCCTTCTCTTCCATTCCACCATAACTATCTGGGCTACATACCTCCAGGTCATATTTGATGCAGGGATTCGTAATCACATCAAAGACTGAGCTTTGTGAGGACAAGGGGGATCATAGTTTATCCCTCTGGATGTCCACAGCACCTCCCACTGTGTCTAGGACCTAGCAGGCACTTGGGAAATTGTTAGGAAATAAATGAAAATCTGGTTGCTAATCAGTTTCTGGTTAATAGCAGATTTTATGCAACAGATTAGGAGAAGACAAGGCTGGAGTAAGCGCAGTAAGAGAAAAGAAATGAAAGCCTGACAGAAAAAGTATATTGAGCAGATACCAAAGGGTAGAAAGCACAGCCCCCATTTAATACTGAAGAACTTAGCCCTTGCATACCCATGAAGTTCCTGAGGGCATTTTCTGTTCTACAGCATACTTCTTTCATTGATACCCGCAGGACAATTCTGAGTCATCAAGAAATGGTTAAATTATGTGCATCATCTTGTGTAAAAGAAGTCCAAAAATTGTAGAAAGACAACCATCCAAAATTATTAAAGTAAAAACGGTTTGAGTGTGTAAAGATTCAAGTCCTAAAGTATTGAATAGGTAGCTATTCAGAACAACTCCTTATCCTGAGCTTCCAGGTAATGAGGTTTTATTATATTATCCCCAAATCTGACCTTTAAATATTTAAATGTATATCTGAACTTTGTCAGATACAATGACGTGTAATTTGGTTTGGTAATTGACCACAAAATTCTAAGAACAGGAAGTCAAAATCATAAAAATCAAGTGACCACAAAGAAGGAAAAGTCAAGTGATCGCAAGCAAGGAGTCCGGGAAGGTTGGTGTGTGTTAAGGGTGAACTCTAGTCCTTTCACCTACCGATCGGCATAAGATACTATAAAAAACTCATTCCTATATATTCTTTCCCCCATCATCTGTGAGCAAATTCTGGAACCAAAAGACATGTATGTTCCTCAAGAATGAGCGGGGGCACCTGGCATGGCTCAATCAGTTAAACATCCAACTTCAGACCAGGTCATGCTCTCACGGTTCACAAGTTTGAGCCCTGCATCAGTCATGGGTCAGTGGGGAGCCTGCTTGGGATTCTCTCTCTCTCTGCCCCGTCAAAATTAAATAAATAAACTTTTTTTTAAAAAATGAATGAACATTAAGGGTGCCTGGGTGGCTCAGTCGCTTAAGCATCTGACTCTTGATTTCAGGTCATGATCTCATGGTTCGTAGGATCAAGTCCCACATCAGGCTCTGTGCTGAAAGAGTGGAGCCTGCTTGGGATCCTCTCTCCCTCTGTCTCTCTGCCTGCCTCTGTCTCTCTTTTTCTTTCTCTCTCTCTCTCTCAAAATAAATTTAAAAACATTAAAACAGGGGCACCTGGGTGGCTCAGTTGGTTAACCATCTGACTTGGGCTCAGGTCATGATCTCACGGTTTGTGGGTTCAAGCCCACATCGGGCTCTGTGCTGATAGCTCAGAGCCTGGAGCCTGCTTCAGATTCTGTGTGTGTCTCTCTCTCTCTCTCTGCCCCCCCTTGCTTGTGCTCTGTCTCCCTTTCTGTGTCTCAAAAATAAATAAACATTAAAAAACATATTAAGAATAAATGCTAATTTTCCAGACTGGGGTAGTCTTTCATCCAGGTAAACAGAATCTCCTTTTTGAGTTGCTCAGGCCTTTCTCATGTAGGAGGTGGTGTAGGAGTCAAGTCGAGTTTCAAAACCTCATCCCAGCTGTAAGAAGGTGCTTGACTGGGGCCATGGTGCCGGTACCCTGACTGGTACCTTGATCTCTTGCCCTGCTTTGCCCAGCTCCTGCCATCAGAACAAGGCGAACTGTCCAGCATGTTCATGAAGTAGGAGGCTTAGCTCTCGTTCTTTCAGCTTCTCAGTGTTACCAGAGGAAGCAAAATGAGGCAATATGGAATAAAAATCTTCCCTTCCAACTAGTATAGTTTCCACTGGTCTACTGCACATTTTAAGTGAGAATATTTTCATTCTCTGAACCCCGAAGTTAACCTCTTCCATTATGTGGGAAGAAGGGGAACCATAATGACCCACAGCAAAGGTCCTTTTTTTATTATTATTTCTTTAAACCACAGTTCTCAGCTCTAGATAAAGTGTCACGCGGTGTTGAAACTAAAAAATGATCTTGGACTCGATATGATAAGAGAGAAGGGACAGGGAAAGGAGGAAGGAAAGAAGGTGAAGGCCGGGCCTGCATGCAAGAAGAGTTGCCAAGGCTGGTGGGCACTTCCCCTCCCACAGTAATTTCCCTACAGGGCACAGCTTTTCATTCTGCAGTAGAAGAAAAGACTCATGTAGGAATACTGAGTTAAAAGATGATTACTAGTGTACAAGTAACTGCTATCAGATTCCTTCCTAAAAGCTAGTTTTGATGGGGGTTGGAGAGAAAACTCTTTAAAGAAGATGGAGGCCATGTAGGGCTCCATTCCACGAACCGTGAGATCATGACCTGAGCCGAAATCAAGAATAGGTCACTTAACCAACTGAGCCACCCAGGTGCCCCTGAGCATGTGGCTCTTGATGTTGGGGTTGTGATTTCAAGTCCCACGCTAGGTGTAGAGATTACTTAAAAATAAAATCTTTTTTTAAAAAAACAAAAAAAAGGGCACCTGGGTGGCTCAGTCAGTTAAGCGTCCGACTTCGGCTCAGGTCATGATCTGACCCACAGTTCGTGGGTTCGAGCCCCGTGCCGGGCTCTGTGCTGACAGCTCGGAGCCTGGAGCCTGCTTTGGAGTCTGTGTCTGTCTGACTCTCTCTCTCTCTTTCTCTCTCTCTCTCTCAAAAATAAAAAAGCATCAAAAAAAAATTTAATAAAAGTAAAAAAATAAACAACAAAAAAGACAAAGTACCTGTCCTGGGCTCGTATTTTCAAGAGGTGATTAAATAATGATTTTCCTTCTGCCTTTTTTGCCCCTTGATTTTATGGAGGTGGAGGTGGTAAGAGAATATTTAAATTGTTAAAACTTTTCCTTGAAACTGTTATTGTTCTATTTTCAGTTAAAGCCCATTTTATGTAAACATTCTTCCTTGTTGTTGTTTGAAACGTAGGACGCGTTGGAACACCTCATTTTATGGCCCCAGAAGTTGTCAAAAGAGAGCCTTATGGAAAACCTGTAGATGTCTGGGGTTGTGGCGTGATCCTTTTTATCCTGCTAAGTGGTTGCTTGCCTTTTTATGGAACCAAGGAAAGATTGTTTGAAGGCATTATTAAAGGAAAATATAAGGTAATATATTATGAATGTTTTATTTTTGTATTGAAATTAAATTATTCCGAAAAATGTGAAGTTGCTATCTGCCTTTGGACTTCCTGATTGTCACGTAGTTACCCAGTCAGAGAAAAGTTCTTTGCTGACATCATTGATCCACTTGCCTTGTCAGATAATATAGGCCTCAAGTAAATTTCTGAATCACTATCAGCTGCACTGTCGTCTAGGCAGAAGGGAGGAGGAGACTGGCTTCAAAACAACCACGGCCTTGCCCCTCCATTCCCCTCTCCTTGGTGCTGCACCTGAAGTCTATCCCACATGTTTGGAACCCAACCCCATGTTTAGGCTAGAAAACAGGGACCTTAGTCCTCTTTGATACAGAATCCTGTATGTGCAAATCAACAGTTTAGGAGTCTTGGGCCCTCAGATTCAGAAAACCAATGCTTTTCTCACAAATCCATTCTAGCAAAACTGCCCATTTAGCTAGGTCAGAGAAATTGTTTGGTTAGTGCCCTACTTATTTCAAATAAAATTCTAGTTCGGGGAAAGAATTTGGAATGACCCTTGGAATTTACTGTGATAGAATTTGACCTTTTTATTTTACCTCAGGTAAGATGTTTGTGACACACGTGAGCCCAGATTTCAAAAGTACCCATTCTTCCTGGGGTGACCAGACCACCTATTCAGGCTAATCTTAGAAAATAAACTCATTTGGCCCTTCTTTCCATAATTTGGGGAAAGGGCTTCATTTTTAAAACTTTTTGCTCAATTTTTAGTGAAAGTGGAAATTTCATCCCAGTGAGTTAGCAATTCTATATTTTATATTTCATATGAGCCTTTATTTGTTTTGCTTTACCACACATCTTGTTCCACGTTATGTAGTCAAGTAGCACTGCTGAAACCCTTGTCATTTACATCCCAGGACAAACCAAAATGCCACTATCACAGCTGCATCTCACAACATAATTTAGAGCCATTTTGGTGGGACTTAAACATTCATATTCTTCTTAGACTCCTGTGGATTAGAAACCACATACATTGTTCCCAGTCTTGTGAATAGCGTGTTATTACTTGCATTATTAAAAAATTAAAAAAATTCATCACTGGCATTGTGAGTGGCTATAGCAAAAAGAGCTAAGGAACACTTGAAAATTCATAAGCTAAAGGTTGGTCTCGCTGTCCCAGCTCTTCCATCCATTTGCCCTCTACATCATGTGTGGCTGACAGAGTCAGATGCTGTGTATGGGAAACATGGGGGAGTGTGTGTCTGGATACCAGATCAGGGCGGCTTATGTTGGGGTTCTTTTTCCGCCCCATACTATTGAAACCTGTACTTTCTATTCAACAGAAGCACTGTTTCATTTTCAGCCATGCCTGGTAACATAAGACCAAACACACGGGTTTGTGTAGTGCCAGACTCCAAAACTGTGAGACCTGTTTTCTTTTCATTGCCTCAGTAATGTTAGAGTTTTATAAAGGACTTCCAGGAAACGGGGGACAAAAGAAATGAAAGGCAAAGTAGCTTCAGAGTGGCAGCCTTGTCCTTTTTTTCTTTTTTTAATATTTTACTTTTGAGAGAGCATGCGCGCAAGCGGGTGGGGGGGGCAGAGGATTCGAAGCGGGCTCTGTGCTAACAGCAGCGAGCCCACAGCCTTGTCCTTTTAAGCCGTTAAGTGAAGCCTGTAGAGGTGCAAATGAGTTATGCTTTTAATTTTTAGCCTTGTGTAATCATCAGCCTATAAGGGCATGCAGGTTTGCCTCTTGTTTTATTTGGATTAAGGTCTATGCCAAAACTCCGTTAACAGAGAAAGATGTTTTAAGTATAGGTTTTGTTCTGCTTCTCTTAGAGTCAGTTGGCCACTGGGGAATAAAATCAATCCTTCCAAGGTAACTAAATGTCTCAGGAAACTGCTTGTAAGTAATCATCCTCCTCCAATCCCTGGAAATTGTGAGTGGCTGTCAGGAATGCATGGCCCTGGCTTTCTCATTGAATTTTGCCAAGTGAAACCACAGGTACTTAACATATGAAAATAAACACAATTAGCAATGCATCAGCATCATAATACTAATACTAGAAATAATGATAGCTAACTCACACATAGCACTTAGTATGTGCCTGGAACTGTTGCTAAGCACTCATATTTAACTCACTTTATCCTCACAGTGACTTATGACGTAGATACTGTATAATATCTCCCACCTGCCTTTTGGAGTTATAAGCATTTGCTAATAATAGAATTCTTCCTTTGTGCTAGTTTAGTTGCTAACTTCCTGGTTTCCAAGGCAATGTGCTTCATTCCAGCAGCCTCTGGTATTTGATTTCCTCTATTTTTAAAGCACTGAATAGTTTTTTTGTTTCTTTGTAAGAAATGTGGGCTCTTCACACAGGCCAAAAATTAAATTATTTTAAAACCTCCATTCTTAGTACTATAGTAAGTCAGATGGGCGTGACAGCTATATCATAGTTTCTGTACCTGGAGGTTTGAAGCTTTGATGTTAATAACTTATTTACTCTTTTACTTGGCTAACCTCACCTCTCACTTATATTCATGCCTTTTTTTTTTTTTAAATACAAAAGCCCCACATTTTCAGCAGCTTTGTTTGAAGTAGAGATCCATCTCTACCATCAATGATAAAGCTGGTGGGCCTTTCATATATACATATGTATATGTATGTATACACACACACATACATACTGTGCTGTGATTCTGTCAGCATTTATTTTTACATTTTTTTATCGAAAATTTCAAACAAAAGTAGTAGCGATAAGAGTACAGTGAACCCCCAGCTTCACCACTTAGCAACATATAGCCAATCTGGTTTGATCTGTATTCCACATACTAGCCGATTATTTTGAAGCAAACCTCAAAAAAAGTTTCATCACCCTGGTGGTTCTTAACAGAAGAACTATGAACAAAATCCTTGATCTATAGGGGTGTTTTTCAAGAAAATTTTGATGGCCTCTTTTAAAAACTGTTATAGTTTATAAACTGCTACTGGCCTTAAGCGATTTTAGTTGAACTTTTCTCATTTGCTAGCTTTTAAGGTAGATATCTGAGAATACCACTTAACTGGGATATATGCTAACATTTAATTTCAATTAACTTTTTTCTAAAAGACAAAAATATGTTTCTCAAAGTATGAAAAGATGCAGTGTGTCACTGTCTATCATCATGGGTAGCCGGTCGGTACGTCCACAGCTGGTCGAGGCGTCCATGGCTTTAGTTTTCAAATAAGCGAGACTGTTCTGTAGCCCTGTTTTGTTCCCCTTATAAACTCAGCCTCCCAGATTAATTTCAGCTACTCTTCTCAGCCACAGAAAGAGGGAAACCCTGGATTGGACTCCCTCAGAAACAGGATGGGGGAGCATCTACTTCTCAACCTCTACTCACTTGAGAAATCTTACTGCCAGTTGCAGATAACTTCTCAACCCCTTTCCCTGAGGATAAATCATTCCAACCTTAAAGAGCACATCTGCTCCAGGATGGGGAAGAGGGAACAAGGCTAAGCCTCATGCAATCACCTACATTATTTCAAACTGACCAATTGATGACAATTTCAGTAGGATGGCAACAGTAAGGCAGTCGCTTTAGTTAAGAGATCTGACAAGCAGAAGTGACTCTTGTTTGGAATTCTGCCTGTTAGAAAAAGAACAAGGAACATCTTTCACTCCCCGTCCACCAGTATGGAACCTTCTAGTAGCCAGAGCGAATTTCAGTGTCAAATGCTAACCCTTGGCCACACTGTAGTGATTCCTGTGAACTGTGATGCAAGTCGTGATTTCGTTTGGCTTTAAATTGTTAGGGACTTTATTCTCCATCTTTCTCCCTTAGAAGGTGACCTAGGTCTCCTCTCATTCAACCCATGGTATTGCTAGCTCCTGGCACCAGGCATCTTATGCAAACTCACCCGGCCAGTTGGCTTCTTGATACTAAATAAGGAATGAGGCCCCACTGGCCTCTCCCCACCTGTCCCCACTTACCTTCCCAGCGGCAAGCCCTAAGCGTCCCTTCCCTTTTTCTTCTTCCTGGTCTCGGAAATACTCTTTTTCCCCTGGAGCCACCTTGCTCTTTTCCTCACAGATCCACTTTCTCACAAGCCTTGTATCCTTTGATCAACTCATAGTTTTTATCCATTTGTTTGACTTTAGTCAATTGACCTTGTGGCTGAGTTGTCTCATCTTTCTACAAGAGGGGCAAAAGTAACTTCACGGAAGACAATATACAAGTGAATGGGTTATTCTCTAGGGCCGATGGTAACAGTATATGTTTTCTAAAATACTGAAATTGATATACAGTGACCAAAATATCCTAGTAGGAACTTTGCATAACTTCACAATTACTGTGGATTCCAGTTTTTCAAGAGAGAAGGTTTTAAAAATTTCTTTGAAATTTTTAACCTAAAAATTTTAATCCTTTCTAGATCAAAGTATCTAGTCTCTTCAGCTAAGGTAGAAACTGAAGTTGTGAGCATTCTATTCTTCAACTATTAAAAATATTATAACTTCTGTGACATCAAGAACGTATGTAAGGGATGCTTATTGATACGAAACCTCATATACGTAGCAACAGCCACCAAAGACTTGCCTTTGTCCTCTTCCTTAGAAAGCAAACCTATAGAATCAGATTTCTGTTCTTTGAGAATTGTATTCACATTGAAACAGTGTAGGAATGTTCCATCAATGGTGAATGTTAACTTCTCCCTGGGCAGTAACTATACAATTTTCCTTTCCTTCTCTTCAGATGAATCCAAGGCAGTGGAGCCATATCTCTGAAAGTGCCAAAGACCTAGTCCGTCGCATGCTGATGCTGGATCCAGCTGAAAGGATCACCGTTTATGAAGCACTGAATCACCCATGGCTTAAGGTACCTGAGCCCATAGGTGGCCATCTACACTTTGTCTGAACCCTTCCAGCAAGAGGAGTATATTGCTCCTCAAGGCAACTCTTCGCATCTTTTTTCTGAGTCCTTTTTTTTTTATTCTTTGACTTTTATTCATCTTGTTTGCTGTTCCTGCACAACCTCTGTAAATATCTGACTAGAGGAATATACCATTCTAGTGACATTCCGCTATCAGCGGGATTAGAAGCAGATTTAGGCAGAATGTACCAGGGAGGAAGGCCTGTTGGTTGTCCACCAACACAGGTTCCAAAGATGTGCAGCACGAACAAGTGAAGTAGTACTGTGTTTATGACCAAAAGTTACAATCTTGGGCGTAACCATGTGGTTCATAACATTACTTTTACTTCAAGAGATACTAGATATGGATTGACTGTTTTCGGAAAATACTTGCTTTTAAAATTTTATTTATTTATTTATTTTGAGAGAGAATCCTAAGCAGACTCCCCACTGTCAACGCAGAGCCTGATGCGGGGTTCGATCTCAGGAACAGTGAGATCATGACCTGAGTCAGACGCTTCGCCAACCAAGCCACCCAGGTGCCCCGGAAAAAGCTCGATTTTTTTCAATTCTTTCTCTATCCTATCTCACAGATGCATATTAAGGAAACTTGTAACTTGGGACTTCGACGCAAAGCACTATTTAATTAAGACATTATATGGTTCGGTAATTCCAGGAAGTTCTCACCGTACAGGTGAGAAAACAAAGGCTCAGAGAGGTTGAGAATCTTGCCCCAAGTCACAGAAGTTGTCAGTGGTTGAACCAGGATTTTAACTGAGCCTACCAAACCATGCTTTACTTTGCGTGCAAGGGCCTCTCTTTTTCACTTACTCAAGGACATCACTCCAGCAATATCCCCTTTCCTGCATCATCGCTTTTCTGTCTCTGTTGAACCTAATATACTACAGTCTATTTTTATTACACACATACACACACGCACACCTCCCGACCCTACAACCACCTCCAGCTTCCACTACCACACTTGTCAAGTCAGTAATGACTTTCACATTGCTAAAGTCAAATCTCAGGCCTTCTCCCTTTTGGCGTCTCAGTACCATTTGACACCCGTCCTGAAATGCTGTCTTCCCTTGGCCTCAGGCCTCCTAGCTCTCCTGGTTTCCCTTCTCCCTTTCTGGCTGTGCCTTCTCAGATCATGCTGATTCCTCCTCATCTCCCCACATGCACCTCTTCACATTAGGGTGCCGCAGGCCTCCATCCTTGCTCCTCTTTTTCTCTGTCGCCACTCAGGCCCTTGGAGACCTCATCTGGTTTAATGGCCTTTAAATGCCCTTTGTACCCTGGTGAGTCCAGAACTCATACCTTGAAACCAGACCTCTCGCCAGAGGGATTCTTTCTTAATCCAGGGTACACTCTCGCTTCCTGACACCTCTTACTTCACCCCCTACTGCTCTCCTCTTACTCTGTTCCCTGCATATTGGCCTCACTGTGGTTCCTCAGGCAGCAGGCACATCCTGGCTTCAGTGCCTCTATGTTAGTTGTGTTCTTTCCGTGGAACGCTCTTCCCCAGACATAGTCATGGTTTCTTCCTTTACCACCTTCAAGTCTTGGCTTAGCTATCAGCTTCTTAGTAAGATCTTTCCCGTTCACTCAATCTAAAATTACGGAGAAGAACGCCCCCTGCCGCCGGTATTCCCTGCCCCTCCTTCCCTGCCTTAGTGTTCCCCATAGCATTCGTCACCATAAGACACACCTATATTTTGTTTGTAGTCTATTTACCCCCTATAAACTACAAGCTGCAGCAGAGTGGGAATTTGGAGTTGTTAGTTCACTTCTGTCCAGCATTCTACTAAGTGTCTGGCATAGACTAAGTGCTCAATAAATATTAGTTATGATTTAATGAATGAACGAAGGAATGTTCATTATATGATACCATGCTACTTCTCCAGAGAGAAGCAATAAGATATTAAAGTGTAGATTAATGATGGATCTTAGTGGCAACGACACGGAATGATGATATTAGAAAACAATTTTGAGATTCCAGTGGATCTTGAGTCTCCTTAAGAATATTATCAAATCCACATTCAACCCTCTGATCTGCAGTTCTAGTTATTCTTGACTTGAAACATTCAGTTCTGGTTATTCCTGATTTCCCCCAGAAGAGAGTAGGTAAACAGTTTTTAGATACTTTCTTAGTATTTTTCCCCCCAGAAATGACCAGTGTGGTGGGGGGGGAGGAGGACTCCTGTTTCTCCTTTACCTTTCTCAGTTTTTCCATAATGGGGATCATTTGTTCACTAGAAGCTAGTTTAAATGCCAAAGAACAATGAAAATGGTAGCCATATGAGTCATTTTTAAGATCCTTTAGAAAAGTTAGCTTTCATTATCATACTTACCTTGACTACTAACATTTATTTTTGGAAACCCTCATCCCTGCAGTGAATATACTTCTTGTTCTAAATAATCTGAATACGTAGTAGATTTCTGGCACCAGAGAGACAATAGACACAAAAATGTCAGTAACTTAAATGAATAAGTTCCAAAAGGCTGTTTGAGCTCAGAATCATGTGCCATGTCTGACCTTGGCGCCTTATGTTTTATCTGAAGATGGAATAATTCCATGAGAATGTTATCTGGCTGATGTGTACAGGCTTCTTATATTTAAATATATGTCCATGTATACTTGTAAATCATTACTGTGGATGTAATTCGTGTTGATTTAGTAAAACACTAAATTTAAACTATAGTTCATGTTATGAAAAACTCCTGTGTAACTGCAAATTGAAGAAATAAGATGATGAAAATACTTATAATGAAGAGTGCCCAAAGTCATAATACCATGACTTTGTGTCAAAAAAAAAAAAAAAAAAAGATTTCTTTGGTAAAACCACAAGAAGAAAATGTCCTATTCAATCATTTCATATAAAAAAAGACTTTGAGGAAATAGTCTAAGTAATATGCAAATATCTTAATGATTGTTAAAATATAGTATGTTTAATGCCTTTATCTAAATTAGTGATGTTTGCTATGAATATTCATTCCAGCAAAAGTAAGACCAACTAAAATTGTACTTTCCTCGTAGATGGCTGAGCTCTTTTCACACCCTTTGTAACCTTAATATGTAGACCCTAAAGTATGTTGACTGTAATAAAACATGAAAAGGGTATTTCTAGAAGGCTAGTCCATTTGAATTTTGGAAAAACACCAGAGAGAGAAAGGCGGCAGGGTCAGGCTGCAAAATGGATTTTCAGATTATATTGATATAACATAAACACCTGGAAAGATAAGCTCAAAGCCACAATGGAGAAGCCTCACAGGAGTACAGAAGTGTGGGCTCAGGGAGACCAGTGAGGTACAAGAGAGATCACTGTCTGAAACTCCAGGGAGGACCACACGTGTTAGTGTGCCTAAAGGGGGCCCTGGCCTCCATGTGGGAAGTCCAGGAGAGCACAGGCGAAGTATCACAAAGTGTTCAGGCCCTGTGGGAGTGGGGGGCAGGAAGCAAACTAGTATAATACAAACATCAGCCATTTGAAGGATTGCACAGTGGTAGACCAGAAATTCTGGTTTGAGGGGAGAATACGTATGATCTAGAATTGCCAAATTAAGTACTTTGTTTTGGTTTTTATTTTGTTTTTTCACTTTTTTTTATTAACAAAATTTTTATTAAAAATTTTTTAAATTTATTAAAAATTTATTTATTTTTGAGAGAGAGAGAGAGAAAGACAGGGTGTGAGTGGGGGAGGGGCAGAGAGAGAGGGAGACACAGAATCTGAAGCGGGCTCCAGACTCTGAGCTGTAAGCACAGAGCCCAACATGGGCTTGAACCCACAAACCGTGAGATCATAACCTGAGCCGAAGTCAGATGCTTAACCAAGTGACCTACCCAGGCGCCCCGGTTTTTTATTTTTTTAATGTTTATTTTTGAGAGAGAGAGAAAGCGGGGGAGGGGCAGAGAGAGAGGAGGACAGAGGATCCAAAGCAGACTCTGCACTGACAGCAGAGAGCCGGACATGGTGCTCAAACCCACAAACTGAGAGATCATGACCTAAGCCAAAGTTGGATGCTCAACCGACTGAGCCACCCAGGTGCCCCTTAAGTACTTTGGATATTAGGGTGTAGATGGTAAAAAGCTCCTGCAGGCTTTTGAGTGATGACACAGTGCAAGCAGCATGCTCGTAGAATTCCTTTGGACACTGGATGTACAAGCGTTGTCTGTCAGAATACAAGAGCTAGAGGCAAAGAGAGCCCGTAGAAGCTGTGCTGTGACAGGAGTGACAGGGACCTGGACCCAGGGAGTAAAGGTGGGAGTGGGAAAGAAATACTCAGACTGAGAGATTTTAAGGAAGGAAAACTGATGAAGCTCAGTGAGTGATTCGAGGTATTTAGAATTAGGAAGCCCACAGGAAGGTTAACCATGTAGAGTGGAAATGATTCCTTATAAACCTTTCATGTTGAAATAATTTCAGACTCACAAAGAAGTGGCAAAAACAGGGACGCCTGGCTGGCTCAGTCGGTAGATGTGCAGCGCTTGACCTCAAGGTTGTGAGTTCAAGCCCCATACTGGGTGTACAGATTACTTAAAAATAAAATCTTAGGGGCGCCTGGGTGGCGCAG